ATGTAACCGTTTTGCACGATTTTCAAGAAGTTCGTATTCAAATCGCGTCATAGTCACGTGAGGTGGCTAGTATTAATACGTCATTACACAGCGCAAAGACTCACCACATTAAATGTAGGAATCTTCTCGTTGGTATAGAACCGACTGGTACGACTGTTCACTGAGAATGAGTTGCACGCGTAACAAGGCCATCTACGTTGACGACAAAAACTGGGCACTGTAATGGACGGTTCTAGAAACGAGTAGCCATGATAACCACTCTGTTGTGCAAAGCACAAGCGGCGTCACACATCAATCATGACGACGTGCCGTGCTGCCAGCCTCTTTGTGGTTCTCGAGATGCCCACGTCGTCGTAGACACGCGATGACCGTGCATCTGGCCAATCAAGGCGTGTCAGGCGTATCATGGCACGCGCACATGGCCCGGCCACGCACAGCCAGCGGTGCTGGCAGAAGGTACCGGTATTGTGTCGCGGTCGAGGAGATTCATCGAATCAGAACTGATTGCACAGCTGTTAAAAACAAGTGGGTGCAAACATACAGCTGGGTGTCCAGAGACATCACGGCTCAGCAGCTCGTGTCTGAAATACTCACCAACGCACCTCTGCGTCTCTTCATCGCAGCATTCAAGCTTGTCCCCACGATCGATCCCGGTTTCGAGATATGTTCTTTGTAATCGTTCAAGAAGTGCAGGATCTGGCGCCGCAGACTGAGCAAATGCTCTCCACCGCGGCGTGCCAGTTCAACGCATGGTCACTGTTCTTCGAGTCAGCTGGTTGAAACCGCCAACTTAGACAGGCGCACACAGTGGTCCTGACGTTTCTTCCCGTCAAGTAAACAAGGCCTACCGGCGGATTTACGTCCATGATGTAGTCGTCGTAGTACTTTTCTTGTTGGTACAACTGCCAAACTGCAGAGTGCTGCCCTCCGACCTTGTACGTTTGCTAGGTTTTCGATTGCTTCATTCTCTGCAGGCCCATCTGCAATGTCCGACGGTTACTGTATACACTTTAGATACGGTAGATAGGCATCAGCCAAGTTGAACCTCGAGCCATGTATCTGCCCCTTCCCTTTCTACGCTCGC